TGTCGGGGATTAATGTTTGCATTTATATAATTTACTTATCGATAGATATACACGAATTCTTCGAACCTCGTCCGCAACAGACCGCGCCGAGCGTCATACGAATTACATAACCATCATGGGCGCTAATAAACGCGGAATTCCTGTTCGAGAGTATACCGAGTTATTTAATTCGCCGAATTAGAGCGGAGCTCTCGCAGAGATTTCGACCGAACCTGCTGTCCAGCTCGAATTATACCGCGGAACGTTTTAATCGGTGCATCCGCAAACGAGCCGGCGTTCCTAAGAACCGTCGGGTTTCCGCGCGTGCTTTTGTCGGCGAAGCCAGGCCTCGAAAACGAAGGATCGTAAGAGTCAAAGGGCGAAGAGGCTGGCTGGCGGAGCGCGAGGCATCGATGCGTTAAATTACACGCTGCCGGTCGAACCGGTAGGGACACTCCCGCTAATTAAATGTTACAGCGCGGCCGATCGCGGCCGGATATCCGCGGGACTCTTCGCGCTGGATCGAGCAGTACGTCAAAGCGCGGCAGTTAATGTCAACCGGCTTCTCGCTAACGGCTGCTCGATGGACAAACAATTCTAAAACGCTGAAAATCGAACCAATCCATTTCCGGCGTGCCCGCCGGCCGGCCGACATTTATCCTTTGATCTTTGTCAGCTGTCCGCCGGTCGCCGATGCACTCGCGTTTCCGTGAGTATACATATTCGCCGGCACGTTTGCACGGCGTGCCCTTCCTTCATCCTCTACGCGGATCCGAGAGCGTGTTGGTTGCCGAGGAGAACTATCCTCTGTAACCACTTCGCCGAGTATGCTTGATCGGTTCATTTGCCGGCAGACGAAGGAGCAGTCACCCCTGACGAACCTCAAAGTTCGGTTAGGCCCTTGCCTCCTTCGAACCGCATAGTCCTTTCGAATCTTTCAAATCGCATCCACGTCTGTGTTTACCGGTGAAATGACTAAGTACAGGGTGTCGTGTGACCGGTGCTGCAACCGGATGAGTGCTGATTCTACGTCGAAAAATAGATCGAAAATGTAGAGTATATTGTTTTCATTCGTGGCTCTGTTTTCGAGAATAGCTGAACAATGTAAAGATGGCTATCAATCAACTGTTGGAAAAGCAGAAGCGACTTCCGAATATTTCTAGCTACGATAATAGAAGCAATTTCTGTCTGCAACCGCATTAAACTAATCTAATCTTGGCCAGGAATGAATTCGTCAGAATAAATTATTCGAGGAAAAAGTCAGCTTGGTTACTCGCCGGTTTCTGCTATATCTTTGCTTCCTAAAAAGTAGATGCTAATTGCGACTATATCTTCTTTCATGAAATTGACGTTATTTTTAATACAATGTAAGAAATATATTTATGTACTTGGTACAGTTTAATGTTATTAACGTTGAAATAAATTAAACAAATTATAACAATATCCTGTCGGGTTTCATATTCATTTAATTCTCTGTCCTAATACTTTTGAAGACGGTCTAAGAAGAGGGGGGAGGGAGTCCAACAGGAGTTTACAGTGTCCTAATACTTTTCGATTAAATAACTCATAAACGTATCTTCACACAAATCGAATAATCATGAATGAGAAAAAATCAATGACCCATCGTTTCGACGTGTTCCTTAAATCGAGTGTTAAACAGCTGATCCAGTCGCGAAATAAAAATGATCCGGATCTGTTGGAACAAATGGAACTCGCTCCCCGATTTCCGTCATGAAATCCTACTTAGAGCCGACACACCTCTAATCCTAGATCCAGCGACGATACCAAAGGCAATTTTTGTCAGTAACCACATGGAGCTCCTCTCCAGCCGAGTATGTTTGATCGGTTCATTTGCCGGCAGCTGAGAGAGAGAGAGAGAGAGAGCACAGTCACCCCGGCAACCCCTGCCAATCCCCGGTCTAGCCGCGATGCTAGCTTCATCCGTCGTTCCGGGCCGCTATCTGGCAATTAAAGGCAGCCCTCGCGCGACCAAGGGCCGACGACGGACACACACCGACGCACACAGAGAGCACCGTGCCGGTCACACTTGTCGCACACAGCGAATCCCGGCGAATTCGAGGATGAAATCGGGGGATTCGAGGAGAGATTTAAGGACTGTCTTTCTTGCCGGCTGGCCGATAGGCGCTCACCGACGCGTTAAAGTAGACTCAACGTGGACACGTGATACCGCCGGGGATGGTATTTCGTGGTTGTCTGTCGATTTACCGCTCCCCGAGACCGGCAAGACAACTCGATTCTGAGCCGGCCGATATCGATCCGAGCGCGGCCACTTCGCTCGGCTAACTTTCATTGTTAGAGTTTCGACGGAGTTTCTTCGAGGGCAGTGTCCAGAACATCTTTTTCCTCCGGCAGAGTTCATCGATGGATCCCGTATTTTTGCGGATACAATTAACGCTGGAACCATCGAACCGGCCCGAATCGCTGATTTATTCGTTTATAGTTAACGATATTACGCAGACGTTTCTGTGCGAAAGTCTTCATTGTTCGAGCACGCGGTGCAAAGCTTAATTGAATTCCGCGATTGTTATGAAACATTATATAACATCATATATATATATTAGCGTGTTTAGGAATCGATAATTCTAGTGTTAATGTACGGCACAATTTCAATTATTCGGTCCTGCGATTCTCTATGCCACGCCAAATACGTTTCAAATACACTCAGCTCAATCGATGGCAACTAATATGCATAACGATTTACTGTACGTAACAATAGTTGCGAAATCCGGCATTGTAACTAAGTGATCGTTCTAATATCGGAACGTTAACATTCGCGTTGCTCTAATTAGGCCTAGAATGTCCGCTCTATTTCGCGTAGCACATTTAAAACCCCGTTCGATCAACTTTCACGGGTGACAAAATGTTTGTAAAAAACTAAGTGCTCAATTTTTAGCGTAGTCCGTTAAATGAATCAAAATCGTCTTGTATCTACAAAATTCAAGAGCGTTACCCTATGTAATCGCTGTAATCATTTTTGTCGTTTCGATCGTTACAATATGAAATAAGTTATCCCGATATCGTGTTATTTTTATAGACACTCCTGCAGCAGTGAACACGTTGAATAAATTCGCTGTCAATTTGCCGCGCCGGGGAACAACAAATATTAATGAGAACACGGGTAAAAGATCCGTTGTTCGTCCAACTAGTGGCGTTACGTTCGGTCGTGCATTGCGGAGCAAAGAAATTATTCATCGCCGTTGAAACATTCGTTTGAAATTCGTTCCGATTTTAATGAAGACATTCGTTCTCATTAAAGTAACCGAAACAACCGCGAAAATAACTCCGCCGATTTTTCAGCGCGGCTCCACTATTCACAATGAATAGTGATGGGTCGCGGATTTTCGTTTTCGGGATCCATTTGCATCGCGATAAACGCGGCGTCGAGCTAAAAGCAAAAGACAGCTGGGATCAAATCGTCATCGTTCGGAAAATTCAGACTGTTCGAAGGGGGGGAGGGTGGCTGGTGTGGCGGGGAACGCGGGTGGTTGAACCGGTTATTTTCATCGAGACAGTGAAATTTATTGAAACGTGAACAATCCCTCGATCATCCAGCGACTCGCGTCATCAATTTATCGGACGAGCGGGTCGGCCCGACTGTAAGCTGCTTCGATGGAGTCCGCTGCTCCCTCGCTCCGTGAATGAAAAATTAATTACTCTCACTCGATACTCTGTCCACCTGTCCTCTTCATATCCGGTAATTCGCGTTCCATTAATATTTCACGGGTATCCGCCGCGAGATCCGCGAGAACGCGGCCCGGGTCGGGCCGGACCGGGCCGATTCGCGACAATATGCGGCCACGTAGCGATAAGTAAACATTACGCGCCCGTTCCGCCCCCCGAAAACTAGCCATTATGCATATTGATACGGTTTATGCGTATGCTAATACCCGGGCACATATAACTATACGATTACTTCGCCGGTCGTGCCGCTTTTAACGCTCCGCGGTGGCCGCGGATAGCATTCGTAAAGCGGAATCATTTATTCGAGCTCGCTAATGCGGCCGCAGTTCCCGGACAAATACTTTTCGCCGAACAGAATTACCCAGGATAATCCGCGATACACAATTTCCGAAGAATAATAATAAGCTGCACGGTCGGTCGATCGTCGGGATTATTCATACGCGGCCGCGGTTTACTATGATTTCGCGGCTGTTTACCTTCGTTCGACAATAGTGTTATTAATATTAGGCTTGCCGGATAATTATTCGAGGCTTCTCCGACACGTTACAACGATCTCCGAAAGGAGCGATGCGTGCAGGAGCGGTCAGAAAAACAAAGTGAATCGTAATTTCAGAGAGAGCTGGCAAAAAATCAATTTTTGAAGTAGTAAATAGACCATAAATATTTGGCAAATGAACTTGTTTTGAAGTAATAGTTACCTATGGAAATAGCATTTTTTTCTGACCAAATTTATTGTTAACATAATTTAGGATTAACTTAATTTAAAGTAACTTTATAATTTATTTCACTCCTCTTTGGAATATTTTGCCATGTACAAATTCCGTTTAAAGACATACAGTCCAAAATTCTGGAAAATGACTCACGCCATTATCACATAAACCCACTCAATTATCATCCTTTAATAACTCCGATGTCTACAATACGTTGCGTCAGAACGCGATACAACGCGTAGTCAACTATCGGACAATCATTCGCCGTCCTGTTACTCGTAACAATCGAAACTAATAATTAAACGGGACGATCTTATCGTTCGTTTATTCCCGTGTTTGCACAAAGAATTATTAACGTTATGTGTTTCTCCCGGCCCTCCATTCACCGTCCAAAATCACCCATTCTGCTTCGCCAGGTCGTTCTAATTAATAGCCCACCATTCTCTGTCGGATTAATGGGTCGTTCGCGGAAACAGGGACGACACCCGCTTCGACAATACCCCGTCGTTTTCGGATACTATCGCCGAAGTGTCCGATCGATGCGTTTTTTCAAAATGCTCCCCGAATCTTCGAACGATTAATAAATATTTCCGAGAGTCGTTCACTCACCACTCTGTCTCCGAGATGCTTCACGTAACAATTCAATTCCGCTGTCTGGCCGACAATGGCGGTGACATTCCGCTCAGCGATGTCGTCGAAAATTGGCTTGTTCACAGGGCTGGTCGGCTTGCTTCCGGCGACCACGCTGGACAGGCTGGATCCACCTGGAAAACGGGAAAAATCAGACAGGTGTTTCATGTCACGATTCATTATTTGTTCCGACGATCGACGAGTTAAATTCGCTGAAATGCTAAAATTCGCAGCACAACGATCCGTGCCCAATTCAACGGCTTAATGCACAAATTGATCCGTCATTCAGTCGATGACATTCGTCCAGCCTTTGAATCACGAATCAAACATCTCCAAAAAATCAGAGCTCGATCTATTGGTTTGTGATCTTTTCAGTGCTTCGCTAATAATTAGAACTTCTTTTGTTCTTAATAAATTTTGAGAATGTACGTCTGCATTAATTGTAAAAATCAAGTATCGACAACAGATAAGTTAACCTTGACATAACCTTGACATAACCTTAGTTTGTTTATTCTCGAATAAACCGGTACCACTACCAAAGATCTCAAACAAATGAAAACCATACATGATTTCGAAGGAGCGGGAATAAGTGACATGCGTCGCAGGCCCGCTTCAGGGGCATTATAATGTTTACGCGATGTACGCAAGTGCACGCCGCTGTACGGAACTCTCGGCGCATGCGTCCCCCCACTCCATCGATGACTTATTTGTCCGAGAACCAGCGGCGTCAGGCTGTCGCTTAAATCGAGACTTTCCCGACGTTCGGATCACGTGACGAGGTAAGGAGCGGTAATTGGGAGAAGACCGAATACTGGCCACTCCTCTATTTACGAGTATCCCCGACAGTGCCCGACGGACGCCGATCCTCTGACATGTACGCAGCAAAGCTGTGCAATCTCGTAAGTACGATTCGCGCAAATTTCCTTCGGGATCGAATGTGTTTATCGTAGCATTCGAACTCGCGACTTGCCCCGATGCAAGAATATTCGACGTTCGAAGCTGAGAGGTTAGAAATAATACGGTCCAAGTCCCGCGAATTCCAGCGGACAGTGCCAGAAATAAAGGCGGCGTTGCCAAATTCGAAAATACCTCGTGGAAAGTGGGCAACGAGCAAGAGGGCAAGTTTATTGTTACTGGAGGGATCCGTTCCTTTAACAAAAACAAGGAAACCCAAGGAACAGAGAGCAGCGAAACGGCCGCGTTCAAAGTCACCGCGAGCGGTATGAATATGGAAGCCCTTCGTGCTCTCGTATCAAACGCGGTTGGGCGGCGTGTCAGGCGCGTGGGCGTGCGTCTGCACGAGCCAGTAATATCAAAAGTTCCGGCTCGAGTGGACTGGAAGTTGCCGTAGACACAGGTAATTCTAATAAGTACTTGATTAAGGGAGAACTTCTCCGCGCAATAGTAATGCGTTGCCGCTATTATGCATGGTTGTCGCGGCACAATCATGGCTAACGTTCGTGGAATACCGTGTTAGTTGCGCCCGGGGAACAGCCGCCCCTTCTTTGATCCCCCGTTAATGCAAATAGTTGGCGAACTAATAATTCGGGGAACGTGCCGCCGCTACGAGCGCCCGTTGTTTGCGCCCCCTTGAACCCCATTGACCCTCCGGAAGGAGTCACGGGGAGGCTCCGCGCTATGCCGGAAAATTCTCTTACCATTGATACTAACCCACGAGCAGAAACTCTGCCACTTAGTGCAACCCTTAACCGGCCACGTGCCATCTGCGCGAACGTTTCTGGTAATTTCGGAAACGCTTCGTAACTAATTCTGACCCCTTAAACTCTCGCAGTATAACAACTATTCGGTGGATCATCGTGTAAAAAATAAAAATTGTCTAGCTTACTTTTCAAACGAAAGTGCTCGACGACATGTATTTGGTCCTTTCTTTAATCTTTTCAATTGTTTTAAAATAGTATATCCCTATTTGTCCCGCGTTAGCCAAATTGGTTTTCCGCTTAAATTCACAGTCTAATAGTAACGAGGACAGAGTCGTTATCAATTCATTTTATTCACTTGTCCGAGATTGAAATAGAGTTTAATCATCCTCTGGTCAATATTTGGCTGGTATAATTAATCCTGCTAGGTCTTGTCGGGTCTATGGGGCCCAGAACGTACAGGCTTCTGCAATTTGTTCAGTTATCATCTTGACGAAGTCTTTATAAAATTCTGCAAATATATTTCCACTTTCTCTTCTGAAGTTTCAGATTTATTGTTTAACGAATATAACGAATATAAATTGTCTTTCTCATGCAGGAATTTAATATCGACGAAAAATTGCTAATCTGAATGTAGCTGCGAAAGGAGTACATATTACAGTAATATCTCCCTTACTGACACTCGGATCGTCCACTAAAATGGATAATTTGGGAAGAGGAGATACGATTATTCGAGCCTTGCGGCTCACTTTTATAATTGTGGACAATTTATAACTATAAAAATAAACCGCAGGGCTCGAATANGTGGAAAGTGGGCAACGAGCAAGAGGGCAAGTTTATTGTTACTGGAGGGATCCGTTCCTTTAACAAAAACAAGGAAACCCAAGGAACAGAGAGCAGCGAAACGGCCGCGTTCAAAGTCACCGCGAGCGGTATGAATATGGAAGCCCTTCGTGCTCTCGTATCAAACGCGGTTGGGCGGCGTGTCAGGCGCGTGGGCGTGCGTCTGCACGAGCCAGTAATATCAAAAGTTCCGGCTCGAGTGGACTGGAAGTTGCCGTAGACACAGGTAATTCTAATAAGTACTTGATTAAGGGAGAACTTCTCCGCGCAATAGTAATGCGTTGCCGCTATTATGCATGGTTGTCGCGGCACAATCATGGCTAACGTTCGTGGAATACCGTGTTAGTTGCGCCCGGGGAACAGCCGCCCCTTCTTTGATCCCCCGTTAATGCAAATAGTTGGCGAACTAATAATTCGGGGAACGTGCCGCCGCTACGAGCGCCCGTTGTTTGCGCCCCCTTGAACCCCATTGACCCTCCGGAAGGAGTCACGGGGAGGCTCCGCGCTATGCCGGAAAATTCTCTTACCATTGATACTAACCCACGAGCAGAAACTCTGCCACTTAGTGCAACCCTTAACCGGCCACGTGCCATCTGCGCGAACGTTTCTGGTAATTTCGGAAACGCTTCGTAACTAATTCTGACCCCTTAAACTCTCGCAGTATAACAACTATTCGGTGGATCATCGTGTAAAAAATAAAAATTGTCTAGCTTACTTTTCAAACGAAAGTGCTCGACGACATGTATTTGGTCCTTTCTTTAATCTTTTCAATTGTTTTAAAATAGTATATCCCTATTTGTCCCGCGTTAGCCAAATTGGTTTTCCGCTTAAATTCACAGTCTAATAGTAACGAGGACAGAGTCGTTATCAATTCATTTTATTCACTTGTCCGAGATTGAAATAGAGTTTAATCATCCTCTGGTCAATATTTGGCTGGTATAATTAATCCTGCTAGGTCTTGTCGGGTCTATGGGGCCCAGAACGTACAGGCTTCTGCAATTTGTTCAGTTATCATCTTGACGAAGTCTTTATAAAATTCTGCAAATATATTTCCACTTTCTCTTCTGAAGTTTCAGATTTATTGTTTAACGAATATAACGAATATAAATTGTCTTTCTCATGCAGGAATTTAATATCGACGAAAAATTGCTAATCTGAATGTAGCTGCGAAAGGAGTACATATTACAGTAATATCTCCCTTACTGACACTCGGATCGTCCACTAAAATGGATAATTTGGGAAGAGGAGATACGATTATTCGAGCCTTGCGGCTCACTTTTATAATTGTGGACAATTTATAACTATAAAAATAAACCGCAGGGCTCGAATAATCGTATCTCCTCTCCCCAAATTGTCCATTTTTGTGGTCAATCTGGGGGTCAATTAGAGAGACATTACTGTAGTTAGTTTGCTGTTTCGTGTATCCCGTGGATTGAAAAATAACATTCCTTCGCAGTTTTCTAATTGTACAGTAACTGAATGTTGTTCTATGCATCTCCTGGTATAGAAAATTATTTTTATACACGATTCCCTGGTTGGACGAGAATTCGATCCAACCCTTTATTATTCTATGTGTCGTCTTTTGTCCGTAGTTTTCTGAATGTGCAGGGGCTGAATCAACCCCATGCGGTTGTTATACGCGCTTTCTGCTCTGGAAAATAAATACATGGATTACCCAATGTTAGGATAGAGTAACGGCGGTTATGCGTGTCCGTATGGATTCGATATTATTCTCTCGGATGATACGCATGAGATTGCATAAATAACGGTATACGAAATAACAAAGAGAGCAGACGTCGGAGATTCAGAAAGTGTGTGTGCGTGTGACCTGGTGCGACTGTTGTGTCGTTTATTATATTCTTGTTTGGCCGTTCGCTTTCGTTCTTCATTTTATATCAAAATATATTTTTGAACTATTGCTAATTCTCTGTAACTTTTTTGCAACACACAGGAGCTGCATCATGCCTTTGTGATCTCTAGAATGCACCCTCGGGTGCCACCCATGTGTAACCGACGCGTCTGGTCAACTGGAATTTGACGAAAAATCGCATCGATATAGATTTCGCGAAACGAAATTTGTTAATTTCGAAAGTACGACAATTACCAGCAGTTTTATGCCCGCTCGGAGAGGGGATTCGAGTGCAATGGATAAAAAAAAAAAGAAGTCAGCATGAGATTCGCATAAAGGAGTTCCGGAGGTAGACGGAACGAGCACGTCGAACTCGGACGATGCTGTAAAAGGATGGTTGCCGGGTAAAGAGTATTCTCCCGGAACGGCCGCAGATTCCTATGAATCACTCGATCTGCCATTAACCAGGATTTCGTGGATCGCTGAGACTGGCGAGTCGCCATTAACATGATCCCGCGAGAGTGGGTGGGAAATGGCGGAAAAACGGGACTGAGCAGGCCGATTGCCGGGCGGTCGGGTGCCCGAGGTTTGCAGGGGAGCAGTGAAACAGTGCGGGGCGTTCGATAAAATTTCCCGTTGTGTGCCGGGGAAAATGGGATTTCGGCGGTCCAGGAATTGAAATTGTTACGAGGTACACGCGAAATTGTTGGGAATCGTTGGACGATAGTCCCGGTATCGATACGCGCTTCGAAGGAGCTCGTCAAAGGGATTGCCAGCCGATAAC